ACGTGCAAGTGTTACTTAGGGTAACAAAACAGTATTAGGTCGGGCTTTGCAAGCAAAGGAGGGGCTGCCTTCGATCCCTGTTGCCTTGATTCCAAAGTCAGTCTTGAGTAAGCATTCTTAGACTCAAAATTGTGCGTGTTGGAGTTTACTGGCCGTCTTGCAGCATTTTGGCACAAAGAGCCGGACCTTTTCGCATAGTGAGGGCAGCGATACCTTGGGCACAGAGCTTAAATGGGGAACCTGGGATGCGGAGCTGCAGAGGGGCCGACGTCCTCCCCGGTGCTGCCGGGTCCGAGGTGTCCCCTTGCAGACAGGAGGACGGGCACCGGGGGAGAAACATCCTGGTATCGGATGCTCAGAAGCATGTTTGTAAAGCACCTGTTTACAATGTGCACCCATGTATTATTATTGTTATTATTTTTTTAAAAAGTAGTTTAAATGGGATAGCTGTGCTGTAATTTATTGCTGTTTTGTGTGCCACTTTCTTGGCTAAGCTACAATCACAGAGTTTGTAAGGAGCCGAGTGGTGAAATCTGTGTAAGCCCTGTAAGAGGAAATTTTTGAGTATTGTGGTTAAAAAAAAAAAAAGTGGAGGAAAAGGAGCACTGAAATTACAGTAACTAAAGGGGGCTTGCATTAACTGAGGCTTCAGGAAAAGTGTTTCTTAATATATTTGGGGCTCTAAATTTTGAAATCTTTTAATGTATTAGGCATTTTGCTTGTTGTCCATTGCCAGAGTTGGACTTGAGCCTAGAAAGTCTACATCTAGGCATGAGGGAAGACACTAATCTGATTAAAATGCTGTATAGTTCCTGTGCAGTTACGAAATCTTGAACGCTTTTGTGCTTGCTGCTTTGTAACTGAAGTAGGTAAGCTGCATTATTTATCTCTGTTACCTGCTACAACGTGAGACTAGAGCAGCCTGACTGGGAGTGACCCTGGAGCCTTCAGCAGCTGTCACGCTGATCTCTTCCCGTCATGTTTATAGTTACTTCCTGTTGCTAATTACTCTCTAAGCTTTTATTTTAATTCTGCACCTTAACACTGACATTTCCTGCAGAAGTCTGACACGTCAGTCAACCTTAAGATGGTAATGGAAGCATTGGTAAAGGCTTGTAATAATTTGGAATATGTTGTTACCTTATTAATAAATAAATTTGGATGGAGATGTCCAGTGACTTCTGCTGTCTTGTACTCCTGCCGAACGTGGCTGGTGGAGATGTTACACGGGATTCTCATCATCTCGTCTGAGAGGTAACAGCTGGGGAGGTCCCGCTCTTGGGGCGATCACAGGTAACCCCTGCCCAAAGCGTTCCGGCAGTTCTCCCTTTGCACCCCCCTCCCTGAAAACACCAACCTGCTTCACACGCATAGCTGCATCCCCGCTTCATCGTCAGCTGCCGCCGTGTATTGCAGCTGTGCGTGTCAGCGCTGGGTAAAGCTCCTTCTGCCGCTTCCAAGTGCCGGAGCGGTGGGAGGTGCTGTTCCTGTTCCACATACGAAGTTACTAAAACCCGGGTTCTCCCTTCACTGGAAAACCTCACACACGGGAGCTTCCCAAAACCCCCTGGCTACAGCTTTGAGGGCAGAAAAACTTTATCTTCACTTACGGTTTAACTTACTGTTTATATTAAAGCAGGGGCTGTGGGTGAGCTGACTGAGTTACAAGTGTGTCTGTCACCTGCACTGAGCGCTGCAGTCACTGGGCACTACAGCTGCCGTAAGTTCATGTGAAGATGAGGAAGACTTTGGTAAAAGCAGGGGTAGAGCTGTTCCGCTGGAAGGAAAGGTACAGGGCTCCACCCCTGCACTCACTAAGAAAACAAAGGAGAAAACATCCTTTTGTGTAGTGCTAAAGGAAAACAGTTTACTGCATTAGCCACTTGTTCTGGAGGCTTGCAAATAAACCTTGCGGTTTGGAGGTAACAAAACCATTTTCCAGTGAAGACACCCAGAGGCAGACCTCATTGCACAGCTGCCAAGGCACGAAAAGCGCAGGCTGTTCACTCCCCGGCCGCTTGGCAGGCAGAATAAGAGACGACTCATGACGGGTACCACACCGAAGTAACGTTTATTGGATCAGAGGAGATGGTCCAGGTTAAAAGCACTCATGCGGTCGAGGGGCCTGGCGGCTGTGAAGAGCTTTTCCCCGGTTTGTGCTATGTGCGAGCACTTCTGCTGAAGTGAATGTAAGGCAGAACCAAGATTGAGCAAGGTACAGGCACTTTGTTCCCAGTTCAAGCAGGGAAAAAAAAAGCCTACATCAGGTCCTGGTCCCCCCCCACCCCAAAAAAGCCTCATGTTCGTTAAACAAAATGTTGTAAAAATAGAAAAAACCCAAGATACAGAAAGTCAGTGCTCCCTAACCATACACTACTAGTTTACGTCATCATATGTAAGACCAGAAGTATAAGAAGTCATAAATCAAAGCTTACTATTAACAAGTGTTCAGTTACCCGGGGCACTGAGCGATACGCAGAATCCCCGGTGATTGACAGCAGTACAGTAACCGTCTGACTTGGTATTGCCAACCGTGTGGTGAAACAACTGCTTGGAGGAAGTAACACAGGAAAGGTATTGTAGATTCCACATTATCTGGTTACGTAAAACAGCGATTTACAAAAAACTCATATACCAAACAATATTCTAAATAAATAGTTCATCTTCATGACTATATACAGAGTCCCCGTGACATCAGTTACACAAGAACGGCACGTCTGTGTCCATGGGCGCAGGGGCAAGTTCACATAGATAGAAGAGCGTGGCTTCGCTCGCTTCCGCCTCTGTCAGCGGCTCCAGCCGCACCAGTTTGCTCTGGGTGGGCTCGGGGTCCAGGCTGCTCTCCAGGAGCTCGTCCACTTCCAGGGGTTTGTCAGCCGAGGAAGGGGTTTCAGCTGCAGAGCTCCAGCTCTCGACGGCAGAGCCCGGGTTCCCATCGAGGAAGGCGAGGAGTGGAAACGCGGTGTACTGTATGAGCTGCTTCTCTACGGGAGGGAAAAAAAAAATTCCAAACCATGATCAGTTCACCTGCCTTTCTACGTGTAGAAGGAAAAAACAAAATCCAACTCACAGAATTTATTTAAAGAATAATTAATAAAACACATTATAGATGTTTGTTTTAAAGAATTGTTACATTCACACCTAACATTATTTGTTCAGATTCTCCTGCAAAAAACCTGAAAAGCAAATATAGCAAGGATTTTGTTTTGGTTATTTGCTTACCGGCATGACACAAAACCAGGTAAAGAGCAAATAACTGAGATGGATCTTAGAACAACGCTTGTTCGACTGTTAAGCTGTTCCAACAAAACACTACAACTGACCTGATTTGGGCTTAGAAACTTGTGTCTCCTGTGAAGCCGCTGGACCAGCGTTACTCTTGGTAGTTTCTATTCCCTTTGTCTCCATCTGGAAACGAAAGCAAAATTGTAAACACATGCCTAAAGCCTTTTCCAATGCCACTAGAACACAGCTGACCAACAATTAAAAAACCCTTAATTTTTATTTGCGAAGGGACACAGCGGTATCAGTTACCCACACTAACAGACCTTGGCTGAGAAAACGTGAAATGGAAACAGGCTCACTCAAGCAAGAACGAAAAGTAATGCTCATAAATGAACAGGACAAACTCAAAGAGCCGATCTTTGCTCTATTGCTTATCCGTGTGTTTTTCTTCCCACCAGACAACACAGACGAAACCATTCTGACAAGGCGTGCACCACGTTTGCAAGTACTAAAATCTCAGAGGAGACAGAAGCCAAGAGACTGGTACAACGTGCAGGCATGGGCCTCAAGGTAACGGAGTTTTAAAGGACAGTTTTTATTAGGGTGCTCCTCCCTTTTCTGTTTAAAACCTAACGAACAGGATGAGTTCAGCTGCAGCCTTCCTATTCTCATGGAAGTCTTCAAAGCCAGAGCATGAAAACAATGCTATTACACCCGTAAAGAAAACAGTAAAGGATGAATTAAAGTTTGCATCTCTCACTACTGCGTACATGGAGCAATGGATTCGAGACTTACTTTGGTATTAGTGATATGATCTGTGGGATTCATCTGCACGGAGCTTGTAAAAAGCTGAGTAAGACAAAACACATCAAGGTTTAGGTATCTCGATGTTGCTATTAAGAACACAAGAACATCACATCTGCATGTGTGAGAATGATCCATGTACTTCATGTTTTCACCCTCTATCAGCATTAGGGTTTATTTACAGGTAGTTACCACTTTGGCAAAGAAAACCTAGCTTTGGGGCATAATGGTTTGGAATTCCATGAACCTCAGTCACAAAGGAAACAACTGTTAGGTCTAACTTAGACTAACGTGGTTTACTGCACTCTTAAAATACCGATTCCTTCTTTCGTTGCTGCATGGAGAACTCTGTGTACAACAAGGAAGAACAAACCCTGACCAAGTTTGCAAGTGACACCAAAGTGGAAGGAGTCACCAACATGCGGGAAAGCAGAGCCGCCGTTAAGAGGGATCTTGGCAACGCGGGCGAGGGCCCAACAGGCACTCCATCATGTTCCACAGCCGCACGCGTTGAGGACACAATCACCTCACGCACTGGCCCAGGTCAGGGAACAGACGGACGGGGAGCAGCTCCTCGGAAAGGGGACCCAGGAGCCCTGGTAGACAAAACCCTGCCATCCGCCGGCAGCGTGGCCTTGCATGCTCTGCCACCAGCACAGCCAGGAGGTCACTGGAAGCAATTGTTCCTCTCTGCCCAGTGCCTGAGAGCACTTGTGGAAGGGTGTCCAGTTTTAGGCCTCCCAGTACAAGAGTTCTCGAACTAGAGGGTGTCCGGAGGGCCACAGATGTTTGGCGGCTTATGAGATACAAGAGGCTGAGGGAGCTTGGCTAAGGTTGTCTGGAGAGGGCAGACAAGGGAGGACAACTCCACTCTTCCGCTGCTTCTAAAGAGGGGTTATGGAGAAGACAAACCACAGAGGCGGACAAAGGACAAGAG